GGTGGGGAGTGCACAATGTAAACATGAAACATATGCCATTACCTATATTGTACTGTGGTACAGTTATGGAGGCCCTTCATAATGCAGAGGTCAGCTGCCTGCTCTACCAATAGTTAGCAATGGCACTATAGTGTGCAGTGTTTAATAAACAGCTGTTTTTCTAAATTCTGCTGAGGTGAAATTCAGTGCAGTCCCGTATCGTGGCCTCTGTATCGTGATACGTATCGTATCGTGACTTTGCTGGTGATACACAGCCCTAGTCTCTATAGTCTGGATGTGGGCTTTAAGGAGAGTCTTGTGCATCACAGAACCCACTGGACGTATTAATGTGATTATGTAAGGAATCATTTAGTTGAAAAATGCACCCTGACTGGAGTTCTTCAGATACTGTGTCACTCTGAAGTGGTTTATTTTGCGCTCATGTCCAGCTGATTATTATTGCTGCTACTGCAGTGGCTTTTCTGAGCAGTTTTCAGTGTCAGAGTCCACTTATTGATTTCTGTTAGATAAGATGCCAGCAGCACTAATTTTGTTAATATTGTTTAACAGCTACAACAGTATAACAATAATTGTTATACTGTTATAGTATTTATTAATATTTTGAATTCGTGTATCTTTTATATTTTACATTTTCGTTTTAATTTAATTTTTAATTTTATTTATTTATTTTTTGCGGGTTGCACTATTTACTTAAAATGGTGAAAAAAGTAAAATATTTTAAATACTATTATAGTTTATATTAATATTTTGAATTGACTTCTATTTCTATATCAATTTTCATTATAATTTAGTTTGTTATTATTAGTTTATTATTATTATTCTTTAGCTTTAATGTATTTTTATTGTAGTTTTAGCAATTTTAGTACTTTAACTTATATATTTTAGTTATTTACCAAGGCTTAGTTTTTTCCATCTAATATTTGTATTTTAATATTTTTTTAATGAACAGTTACAACACATTTGTTTTTGTTGTTTGTTATTATTTTTTATTTGCATTTAATATTTTTTATTTTAGTTATGTTTTAGTAAGTTTAGTACTTTAAATTAAACTTATTTCAGTTAGTTGCCAAGGCAATATTAATCAAATATGCTTTATTTTTTCATCTAATATTTATATTTTATTTCAGTTTTATTTGAATGAATGTAAGTGCTTTCTTAATAGTTTTAGTTTTTGTAAACACTGACCACCAGCAGTTATTATAAGTTTGGCCCAAAGGTCTTATTCTGTAATGAAGGTTCACCAGGCAATGAAAACGGTAGCTTTTGTTATTATGGTATTTCAGTAAAGGTCAAAGTAAATAATGCAAAGCGATTGGGAAAGGATTATAAATGACAATCACATGGTAACACTTTATTTTAATGACCTATTCCTACTATTAACTAGTTACTTCCTAGCATGCATATTACTAGAAGACTGGCTGTTTATTAGTCCTTATAAAGCACATATCAATGCCTCATTCTGCAAGACTATATTTAAGATCCTTCAACTCGACCCAACACCTAAACTTCACAACTACCTTACTAACTATTAATAAACAGCAAATTGGGAGTTTGTTCAGGAAAAACTCTTAGTTAATAGTGAATAAAGCAATAAGCCCCAAGAAGCTGTGGTTTACAGTGAATTTATAACAGCTAATGGGCGTTGTTAAAAGCTAAACCCCCTTAGCTGTTATAAATTCCCTGTAAACCACGGCTTCACGGGGATTATTGCTGTTATAAAACGGTTATTCCATATACGTAGTTAGGTTTCACAAAATAAAACGGAGCAAATAAAGTGTAATGATAATAATAAAAACAGTATTCTTCCACAGAAGTAAACAAAGGTGTGTGTTTGTAGAGTAATTTACAACAGCTTAGAACGCGGCTCAGCCAATCAGAATCAAGCACCGGAACTCTCCGGTTTATAACAGGTGTTCCCTAATCTAAAGGGTTACCAATCACATTTATTCCTACATGGGCTGAATGAAAGCCAAGAAACGGTGATCCCTCTGCAGGGAAAATTAGAATTAAGAAGTGTTTGCTTGACACGGATTCACAAGCTTAAATGAGTTGATGTAATTTTGACATTTATTTTCTCAGCTGTTTGATGGTCACTTCGACACCAACATTGGTGCCAAAGTAGAAAGTAAGAGCTATGAGAACATCGCGGAGAGGATTGGATGCCAACCGGAGGAAATCATGTTCTTAACCGACCTCGCACGAGGTGCGTGCATGCTTTTTAGGGATGCACCGATATGGTGGCCGATATATCGTGCATCCCTAATGCTTTTCATTGATAATACGTGCTTGTGCCACAATCACATGAGGGACCCTGACTGTGCAGTGTGATCATTCATCTTCACGAGCATCTCTCTTACAGAGGCAAAGGCAGCAGAGGATGCTGGGGTGAACGTGGCTGTCGTCGTTAGACCTGGAAACACGGAGTTAACCGGAGAAGAAAGGAGCCGTTATAGAGTCATCACATCTTTCAACCAGTTAAAACTGAGCGGAAACGTTTGACAGCGCAGAACTGGGATTACAGCATCGGATCATGTGAAAAACCAGCGGTTATTATGTGTTGTTATTCCACTGGACTGAAACGCCAAGCCTCCCAGGTGCTTGTTTTTTACACTGAAACCCATCTTTGAATTATCATACACTTGCAGTCTCTCTGAATGTTTTCTATGCGGTGTTAATGTGTAGCATATGACATATTTATGCCAAGATACTTCTGTCTTTATTCCCCACCTGTGCGGTGATATAAAATATGATAACCTGCCAACTAGACACAGGTTTAGTGTGATTGTACCTCATGTCAGTCTTATAAACGTCAGTATCAAATGTTGTTGTAAAATTTTATTCCAAACGGACGCATCGAACAAATCACATTTGCAACATTTAGACACACCAGCACCCGAAAACAGATGTCTGTTTTAGTTACAAAATACAGAATTATGACCAATGTCAGAGATGTTTTACAATATATAACGTCAAGTAGAAAATGCTGCATAAGCTTCTTTTAAGGCTCAGAATGAAACGCGGTTACATGAATACAAAACATCTGTGATTCTATTTCACATGGAATTTCTTTTTGACATTAAAGTGATATTTCACTTAAAAATGAAAAAATCTGTCCTCATTTACACACCGTCATGTTGTTCCAAACCTGTGTGAGTTTCTTTCTTCTGCTGAACACAAAAGAAGATATTTTGCAGAATGTTGGTAACCAAACAGTTGACGGTAGCCATCGACTTCCATAGTATTTTTTTTCCATTCTATGGAAGTCAATGGCTACCAGCACCTGGCTCTTCAAAATCTTCTTGAAAATATATTTAACAAAAGAAACTACAGGTTTGGAACAACTTGAGGGTGAGTAAATGATGACAACATTTTTATTTTTAGGTGAACTGTCCCTTTAAAGGCAGTTTTTCAAACCCGTATGCTGCATGAAGATTGGTGTGACCAAAACGGTTCGTAAATAATACGAGAATTTTAATTTAAAAGGATAGTTCACCCAAAAAGGAAAATTACCCCATGAGTTGAGGCACTTTTTATTACGGATGGATGCACTTCATTGGACTTCTTTTGGACTATTGACAAAAAACACCCATTCACTGCCATTATAAAGCTTGGAAGAGCCAGTGTATATATATATTTTTTAATATAACTCCGATTGTATTCGTCTGAAAGAAGAAAATCGTATACACCCAGGGTGGCTTGAGGGTGAGTAAATGATCATTTAAATGGTAATTTTCATTTTTGGGTGAACTATCCCTTTAATTCAAGTGGTGAGGTTTGTAGTGTCTTCTGCAACAAGAAAGCATAGTCCTAATGTCTCTGAAGGATTGTCTTGCCAAAAACCGTTCCTGTATTCAGATCTTCCCCTTGAAGGTGTCCTTGTCACGTCACTCATCTGACACGCAAACATGGAGCACATCACAGTACATCGTTGTGCATTTCATGATCTTTTGCCAAAGCCGATCTACACATCCAGAAGACATACTCGTCCGAAGGGCTTTCTAGAGAGATTACATGCAGGACTGAGAACTGAAGTACGAGAGTCCACAGATACTGCAGAGTGAGACTAGAGCTGGTCAGACTGGTACTCGGAGACCTCGGAGTAGCTTTCAGACAGGCTGAGTGGAGGCTCCTGCTCGTCGCTGCAGACGATCTTGAAGTGGTAGTGGCGAAACTCAAAGGTGAATGTGCCCAGGTACGTCAGGAAGAACATGACCAGTGCCCACTGAGCACGGGCCGCATGCATGTGCAGCCGCTGAGCCATCAGAGCGAAGTCTGCCGTCTACCGTCAAGGCTGAAATATGGAAAACCAATCAAAGCAGAAGAAGATTTCCAAAGAACAAGCAGGGCTGGGTGATGCATCACATACTGTACATTCACAATGAATTATCTGGCAATATTAAAAACAACGCTGACTACAACAATAACTTAAACCAGCCTGAGGTGCTTAGCTTGTTTGTTTAGATCGTTTTAGAGGGGTTTTCGGTGTCTGCTAAGAGACAAGATGGCTGATTATTACCAACAGGATACCAACTAAACCAGCTTAAGCTGTTTTTTTATCCAGCAGGGTTCTCATAAGCTCACGGATATTCTTGCATGGCTTTTTATATAAATTAAAATGTGTTGCTAAAAGTAAAGGTAATTATTGCTTTCTTTGTATTGTTTACATTGCCTTTGTATGGAAGGCCGTTTCCACCAATGAACAAAAAATTTCTCAGAATTGTGATTTAAACCTGCAACTGTAAGAAAATAGTATTTTTTTTCCCCCTCTGAATTGGACTTTATAACTCGCAAATGCGAAAAAAGTCAGAATTGTGAGATGTAAACTTGCAATTGTGAGAAAAAAGCCAGAATTTCGAGTTTATTTAATTGCAAGTTCATACCGCGCAGTTCTAAAAAAAAAAAAAAAAGTTAATTTAATGGTTTTATTAAGTGGCGGAAACGGGCTTCCATACCTTTGTGAGAAACAAGTACACTTAAGCATTTTATTTATTTTTAAGAGTACTTGTTACAGAAATAATATATTTTAAAATAACTCTTAAGTGCAAGCTGGATGTAATGTTTTCAGACACTTAATTACATGTTAATTGCTATTAAGTGAAAATGTATTTATAGTTCAAATTTAGCACATAAGTACATCTTTATATGTAATTTCATAATTACCTCTATTGGCTTTAAAATATTATAAAAGTTAAAGTGAACTGCCGAATGTACATTGTACACATTTATGGAAAACTAAAATATTTTAATGACATTTTTTACTTGAATGTCATATTTAAATATATTTGTAATGCATATTTACTACACATGCTACACTTTTGTGGTGATCAAGTTGCAATTTAGTACTTTTAAAATATGTGAATTTTTAATGTCATTTTGAATAACACACTACAGTTCAAATTATAATCAAGTACTTCACATGAGCTTTAGTATGTTAGTCAACACCAACATTAGTGAACTACTTTAAAGCATGGCAAAAGATTATTAATAATGATTTAAAATGTACTTTAAAGTAAAATGTTTAATTTGACATTATTAGAAAGTACTCTTTTAAAGTGTTTTTATAAACGTAGGTTACACTTTAAGGTGTCTTGTTACAATAGGATTAGGGTTAGGATTCGGGTTTGGTGTGGGGTTCAGTTGCAAGAACTATTATGCATAATTTACTGTTGTTATTATTATAGTAAGTACATGGTAGTCTAAGTTAATACATATTTTATATATGTATATGTGAAAGAACATTTTTGGCAAAAATATAATGTTTAGGTTAAAAGTACTTAAAGTACACTTATTTTTCGCAAGGGTTGTGTATACAAAATGGAAATTATTTTTTATGCTGCTTTGTTCAAATGGTGAAACGCCTTTTTCTGAATTTTTAATGTTATAATTTTTCAGTGGGTTTTGTTTGAAAGAACATATTTAGATATTTCAGAGCAAGATACATAATGCACATCATCAGAAATCGAGATATTCTGGTGTTATCACCCAGCCCTATAAAAATACTAGAGTTCATCCTCACGATAAGCATCTTTTTCTGCACAGTCAACAAATGCAGTGCTCGCATATATTGTTTTAGTTAAGTGAGCTTACGATGGAAGGAAGAAGGATACAAAGCAGCATGCAGGAAGTCACCGCCCCAGACAACAGGAAGCGAGGGATACCTGCTCGCCTGCCTTCATTCCGCAGGTTGACCTTTAGGGTCATGAAAGACTGGACCCAGCAGAATAGTGTTGCTATAGGCCAAAGGTCATGGACGTGCCAATATTATGCAGCTCCTCGTCGTTGGACAGCTAGATCAATAAGTATGTTAACAAAACAAATTAGGTGTTAAGGTGAAAATAGAATTTAAAATTTTCAATATTTTTCTGTCAATATGTTACAAAAAAGCCTAAATAAGTGGTTCAATGTTATGTTTGCGAAATAAATAAATGCATACCTGGAAATTCACAACTAAAGTCATACCAAAGCAGGCAAGAGACAAAGCCACCAGACTGCCGATGTTGAGCCAGGGTTTATGCACTCTCGGCTTCAGCTGCAGATACCGCAGCACTCCCAGAATAAAGCCTGGGGCCCAAGAGACCATGAACATTTCTACATTCGTTTCTGCTGCCATTTACAGAAATGGCTCACCCAAAAATGAGAATTTGCTTAAAATGTGCTCATCCTCAGGCCATCCAAGATTAGGATGAGTTTGTTTCTTCATCAGATTTGGAGAAATGTAGCATTGCATCAGTGTCTCAGCAATGGATGCTCTGCAGTGAATGGGTGCCGTCAGATTGAGAGACCAAACAGCTGATAAACACAACACAATAATCCACACCACTCCAGTCCATCAGTTAATGTCTGGTGAAATGAAAAGCTGTGTGTTTGTAGGAAACAAATCCATCAAGATGTTTTAACTTTAAACCGTTGTTACTGGCTAAAATGAGTCCTCTATCCATAATATTGTTTTCTCTAGTGAAAAAGTCAACTGGTCTGAATCAGGAGAGAAATCTGCACAGATCAAGCACCGTTTACAAGCCCAAACAGTCCAAAACCGCTCTAAACAAATATGTGGGTGGATTTTGATGTGAGAGACGACAGAAGATTGCCTTTTTGACTGGAGGAAGAGTTATTATGGATTATGGACTTGTATTTTGGCAAGAAGCAACAGTTTAAAGGAGACATATTATGCACCTTTTTACAATATGTAATATAATGGCGATTTTCCACTGCATGGTACGGGATGGTACGGTTCACTTTTTGGGGGGTTTTCCACTGGGTACAGTACCTGGTACTTTTTTTAGTACCACCTCGGTTGGGGTTCCAAGTGAACCATACCGTTACCAAAACGTGACGTGTAAACTCTGCTGATCACGGATTGGCCGGAGAGAATCGTCACTACCTGCGTCACTGAATTTACGACACAAACACAAAAGAACCGCTAGATTTAAATCAGCACAGCCAGCGAAGGATCGAACGCAACTGTTTTGAACGAGCGCACCTTTTTTTAACAACCAAAAAGTTTTGTTGTCTGTTGCGGAAGAACAGACGTTCCTCTCGTTGATAGCAGAGGAGCGGATCCAGCGAGAGCTTGATGGAGCGACGCGGAATGAAAAAGTTTTTTTTAGGAGTCGTGGTAGTAGAGGCGGCGCAACTATAACGACATGTGAATAATCCTGCAGTAGAAACGCAAAACGTGCCGAGCCGAACCGTGCCGTACTGAGCCGTGCCGAGCCGAGTCGTACCACGCAGTGGAAAAGCGCCATATGTCTCTGGTGTCCCCAAAATGCGTCTATCAAAATTTCAGCTCGAAATACTCCACCGATCATTTATTATATCAT